GACGAATTAGAGCATGTTCTAATTTTCGTCAATTTCTTCGTGAAGTTCGGAAGTACCAACCCAACAGATTTCCAGCCTCAGATCAGTAATGAGGTTATGTTATTGGAATATGTAAATAATTGTGTGGCGTCGTGCTAGTTTTGCATTGTTTTTACTGATTTGTTACTTACAAAAACTAATATTTATATAATATGTGTCAGAACGGTACCGCTGTTGTATCACTACAATTATGAGTGGAAAGGTGACAGTTTTGAAATTTATTTGCTTCTTTGATTCATTCGTAGAACTGATTCATACGTCAAAAAAAATTGACAAAGTCTGTAGCAGTGTAAAACCACACTGTTTACCAATAAACTCGTGAATTAATTCATGAATAACTTCGTCAATTTATTCATGAATAAATTGTCAATGTAAAACAGCTATAACAAAGAAAATGGTCTCCTTCGTGTTACGTTTGGAATGAAAAAAGTAACAATTATTTTATTTCAATAATAATTAAAAAATATTAAGTCACTAATGATTGAAATTTGATTCTAGTCATTAAATATCTGCAACGTAAGGCTCCCTTAAATAATTTCACATTTACGGTTGTTTCACCATGGGAAGTTGCTAATATTATCATTGGTCTTAAGAATAAAAAAGTATGGATGTTTATGAATTTAATACAATTATGTTAAAATCTATAATGAATTCAATATTGTTACCGTTGACACATTTGATTAATATTTGTATTGAAAGTGATATGTTTGCCAATTGTTTGAAGATCAAAGTATATGAAAATGTTCTTAAAATTCAAATAACTAGTTATATGGAAACGTTCCAACTATTCACTCAGAATCAATACGGTTTTCGAAATGGTTTATCAACAGTATCAGCTATTGATTGTTTAACATCGTTTATAAATAGGGGATTCGAGGAAAAGTCATATGTAATTTCTCAATTCGTTGATCTAAGTAAAGCTTTTGACTGTGTTTCTCATGAGATTTTATTGAAAAAGTTGCATTACTATGGTTTTGCAGCTCAGAGTGTAGGTCTACTGTCCTCCTATTTAACTAGCAGATTTCAGTATGTTACTCACAATTCAGTCAAATCTACTATGTCTGAAATAAAACATGGAGTGCCACAAGGATCAGTTTTGGGTCCCCTACTTTTTCTTATTTACATTAATGATTTTCCCAGTATATTTGACAGATAAATTGTGAGCATACTCTTTGCTGATGACACCAGTATGTCTACCTCAGACTCTGATTTGACTGTGTTGCTTGATTCCATACCTCAAATTCAATCCTTAGCGAACGANCGATATGGAACACTTTAATAACAGTTATTGCTATTATTTCGTAAAGGGTATAAAAAACGTTGTATACTAGTTATACAATAATTTAATAAAGAATAAGGTTTATAGTCACTATACAACTGTGCTAGCAATACGCGTTTTATATCCAATATTCACCTTCACATATAGTATACATTGGTCTTATAATGGTATATAGAATTCTAATAAAGAATAAAACGCATTTCTTTCAGTGTAATAACGACAAATATATTATCGACACCATTCTTTTTATTTATTTATGTAAGCGTGAAAGTTTGCTATGAAATTATGGATTATTTGAATTCAAAGATACTTTTAACTATAAAGATTTTTTCGTGTTGACAAATATCTACGTTTTACCTGCACTGTAAAAAATGTAGTACAGTAAAATTATCAAATAAAGTGAAATTACATTCGACCATAATGTAATTTCACATTCGAAGTACTTGCAATATAAAAACATCAGCATTGGCAAATTTACCAAGCAATAACACAGAGGTATGCAATTTTATTATAAAATTACAGGTGTGTAAAATTACAGAAGTGTCGCTGTGAAAAATTTTATATTATTTGAATTTAGGAAACTTTTAAAATGTAATTTTTAAGTTGACAAAAATTTGTGTGTTATCTGCTCTCTGAAAAAGTATAGAGTAAAATTACAGTTTCAAGGAAAATTACATTCGATATGTAATTCCACATTCGAGGTACTGGAATTATATATAGTCTTTGATAAATTTCACAGGCGATTATCCAGAAAAATTAAATTTTATTGTAAAATTACAATTGTTTGTACAATTGGAGGTATAAGTAATTCAAATGAAAATAATTCTTTCCTAGTTTAATTTTTTTTATCTATACGAGTAAATCAGAAAGCTTGTGCTAAGAAATTATCGATTATTTGAGTTCAAGGAACTTTATTGAATGTAATGAATTATTTTAATAGAGTAAGGAATACAGTACAAGTAAATGGAAGGTACATTCGACTTTAATGTAATTTCACAATCAAAGTACTTGTATTAAAAAACTTACCAGGTGATTAATGAAATGAATGTAATTTTATTGTAAAATTACAATTGTACAACTAAAGCTAAAATAAGTTGTAAATTGCCTACAACAATTTGAATAAACAAGTTAAAGAGGTAACCTCTTGCAATTCCGATAACAAAATAGATCATCTCCGAAAAATGTAATTTACTCAGCATTTTCCGGTTACTTATACCAAACGATTGCAACAAGATATTGGAGGGGCTGGGGTGTCTGACAACTTACGTTTTTTGCCAATCGCTTGACAGGTCTGCTGCCCTTCCACCACGTGATGACGGCGTCTGGTCGTGACCCTGACGTCCGACATTCGACTTCGTATCTCTTGTCCGCTGATACGTACTTCTCCTGGGTGATGATATTCACAGATTTGGGCTTTACTGAAACAGAATCTATCATCAATTAAGACATAAGTAAAGATTTATAATATGTTTATAATTTATAATAAATTTTGTAAATGGATTTAAGAAGGCTTTGGGAATTGAAAGGAATATAAGTTTGCAGAAAATGAAATAAATTGAAAATTAACTAAAAATACATTTGACGTTACTAGCTATCCCTTCTTACAATATACAGGGTGGCCAAATCAAAACGAAACAGAGCCATTTTCAGGAACTGCGTCAAGATTGTAGAAAAACGCTCAGACCCGTCGATTTTAGATTAAAGGGGGACATTCTTTGCTGGTATTTTTGACTCCGCCACTTTCACCCCCAAGCAAGGGTAAGCATCACCCCAAAATATTTAAATGGCATTG